GCATGGGGTATAGTGGAAGTTGAAAAGGAAGAAAGTTGGTTGTGGTTTTTGGAAGAACTTAAATATGATTTGCAAATAGGAGATGGTGATGGTTATGCTATAATATCTAACCAACAAAAGGTATAATATACTTTATTTTCATTTATAGATATAATTTAGTGTACTTTTCAAGTTTCAGTTATACTGTCATACGTGCATGGTGTGCATGGTGTGCATGATGTGCATGGAATAAGTTTATGTATGCACTTTTTTGATCCCTTAATTATTATTACTGCAGTTTATTGGTCCCTAAACTTTTGTTATTGCACTTTTTTGGTCCTTGATATGATAATGTATTGTAATTTTTTTATTATGGTTATAGTTGATAATGTCTTGGTTAAATGCAGGGGTTGATAAATGCCATTGTAGCCCTTTTACCAAATGCAGAACACAGACATTGTGCTAGGCATAGATATGCCAACTTCAGGAAGAACACAAAGGGAAGGAATTGCAAGCCTTATTTTGGAGATGTGTGAAGGCACTGAATGAGGCAGAATTTAATACAGCCTTAGCAGAGTTAGGTAAATTGAAGCCTGCAGCAAAGGATGACATAATGAATGTGGATCCCAAGCACTGGAGCAGAGCTTTTTTCAAAGTCGAAATTAAGTCATCTGTGGTCGACAATAACATGTGTGAGGTATTCAATGCCTTACTTGTTGATGCACGACACAAGGCAATAATTTCTATGAATCAAGAAATGAGAGTTATGTGTGCAGCAAGAACTGTTGTTAGGAGAGAGTTTGGATCTGCTAAGTTTGTGGGAGAATTTGGGCCTAAGATTTGGACTAAGATTGTACGGAATAGGGAAGGTAGCAAGAAATGCAAAGTCCTATGGCCTGGTGGAGGTGGTTTTGAAGTTGAGGATTACATGAATAGTAAAAATAAAGTCAATTCAGGCAAAAACACTTATATTGTATATTTGGAAGATAGAAAATGCACATGTAGGTATTGGGATATATTTGGGATTCCTTGTAGAGATGCCATGATTGTATTGAGTTTAAAAAAACTGAGAGTTGAAGAATATGTTTCAGATTGGTATAAGTTGTCAAGATTTAGGGCCTCTTATGCATATGAGGTACCAATTGTTGAAGGCATGAATCAATGGACACCAACAGGGATGCCAGCCATACAGCCACCTGCACCACGGAAGATGCCTGGCAGGCCTAAAAAAAAAAGAAATCCTGAAGAATGGGAAGGAAAGAAAAAAATGAGAAGACAAGGAAGACAAATGATCTGCTAGAAATGCTTCCAAAAAGGTCACAATTCCAGATCGTGTGAAGGCTAACCGCCGAATGTAAGTAACATGCAAGCTTTATTTCTGTGGATATATTGGTGCACTAAGTTAATTATACTTTGGTTACCATTTTTAGGTGCCCCAAATGGAGAATCAACCATCTGTGGAGCAACAACCCCCTATTGAGGACAACCAGCCACCTCATGGAGAAGACAACCTGCCACGCATTGCTGAGGAAGAACTAGTGAACATGACCCAAGAAGATCCTCCAATGAGTCAAGTAATCAGCCCAACTCCACCAGTTCAACAAGCCACAACTCCCACTACAAGAAAGAAAGAGAGAGCTAGAAGCGCTGATCGGCTAGTAATGGGTTTAACAACTCAGTTTTTTTTTTTTTGTTTAATTTAATTTTTTACCCTAAAATAATGCAAACTTTTTGGATCATGTTTGTAGAAGAAGGCAGAAAAGAGAGCAAGGAAAAATACCCCAACCCCAACCCAGCAAGAGGTAAATAACAACTTAAGTTTGTTTTTATTAATGGATAAAAGTCTCACAATATTTCTATGCACATTGACTGGTGCTACATCTAATATTCAGGATTCGCCATCTGCGCCTCTATTTGAAACCCATTCACAATCCACAAAAACACAAAAAGTCAAGCATGCCTATCCAAAAGGGAAGGGGAAGCAACAATTTGAAGGTTTTGGAACATATGTGAATCCGAATACAGGTTTTTCCAAATTAAATGTATGTGAATTAGGTTAGCTATATGTTCTTCTTATTTACATGCAAAATTAATTTAGTGTATTATGCTTGCTTAATGTAATTAATGTTTATTATAGCCTGGACATAGAAGTGCAAAGAACTTTGTCGTTTGGATATGCACCAACAGCACTTGCACCAACAGCACCTGCACCAATAGCACCTACAGTACCTGCATCAATGGCACCTCCATCTATAACAACAACTACTCCCTTAGGAAGCAGTAGGCACAGTAGGCAATTTGTTACTGCCACTAACTTGCAAGCACAATTATGGGAAAAAAGAAGGCAAAAGGAAGGGCAAAAGGAAGAAGAAGCACTTGGTCGTTGGGCAGAGTTATTGACTAAA